GAAGGAAGGCAGGGAGGAAGGAAGGAAGGAAGGAAGGAAAAAAGGAAGGAAGGAAGGAAGGAAGAGAGGGTGGGAGGAAGGAAGGGAGAGAGGGAGGGAAGAAAAAAGGAAGGAAAGAAGGAAGGAAGGAAGGGAGGGAAGAAAGGAGGAAGGAAGGAAAGAAGGAAAGAAGAAGGAAGGCAGGGAGGAAGGAAGGAAGGGAGGGAGGGAGGGAGGGAGGGAGGAAGGACCTTTACCTTTTCCTCCACGGAGATCTTCTGGTGATCCAGTTCGGTCAGACGGAGCAGCATAAAAATCACCAGGAGCCAATAATCTTCTTGTTCCTGGGAAAACGCACAGCACTGAAATTTCAATTCAGCCATTCGGGCTGATAACAGGAAGAGTTGTTTTATTATTTTCGGTTCTTCTCTCGGAGTCTGACATGGGAGGCAGGGAAGGAAGAGACGCTCGGGGGAAATAGCGGTTTCGTTTAGCGACCATTCAAAGTTACAACGGCGCCGGGGGAGAAAAAAAAGGGACTTTGGACCCCTTTCTCAGACTCACAGACGTTGCAGGGATCAACATTCGCACCCTTAGCCACCGACTCGTGACCCCCACCAAAGGCGGCAAGTTCTTATCGGCCGCCAGAGTTAGTCCTCGACTTACAACAGTTCATTTAGTGACTGTGCAAAGTTACAACAGCGCTGGGGGGGGAAAGGAGCGTTTTTCACACTTCAGACCGTTGCAGCGTCTCCGTGATGGGTCACGTGATCAAAATCCAGAGGCTTGGCAACTGGCATGTACTTATGACGGTTTGCAGCGATTCTCCTTTTGCAAACCTTCTGACAAGCAAAGTCAAAGCTGGATTCTCTTAACGACCGGGTTACTAACTGAAACAGCCGCAGCGATCCGCTTAACGGCTGTGGCCGGGGGGGGCGGAGGGCAAAATGGGGCAAAGTTCCCTTGACCAGTGTCTCGCTTAGCGACAGACATTTGGTCGTAAGCCGAGGACTAATTGCGTTTTCTGCGAATCCAGAGTTGGACCCTCCTCTTCCTCACAGCTGTATAAAAGTGGGAGAAGGGAGCAAGCCAGGTCAAGGAGAGCGAAGGGCAATACGGCAGCAAGAAAAGCTCCGAAGGGTTGAAAGGTCTCCTACTTTGAGTGTGTGTGTGTGGGGGGGTGTTGGACTAGAAGACCTCCCGGGGTCCCTTCCCACTCTGTGTCCTGTCATTCTGTACAGGGAGTCTTCAGCTTACAAACTGCTCCATCACTGGAGGTTTTTAGGAAGAGACTGGACAGACACCTGTCTGAAATGGTATAATAAAGTCTCCTGAGCAGGGGGGTTGGACTAGAAGACCTCCCGGGGTACCTTCCTGTAACTCTGTACAGGAAGCCTTCAGCTTACAAACTGCTCCATCACTGGAGGTTTTTAGGAAGAGACTGGACAGACACCTGTCTGAAATGGTAATAAGGTCTCCTGCTTGAGCAGGGGGTTGGACTAGAAGACCTCCCGGGGTCCCTTCCCACTCTGTGTTCTGTCATTCTGCACAGGGAGCCTTCAGCTTACAAACTGCTCCATCACTGGAGGTTTTTAGGAAGAGACTAGACAGACACCTGTCTGAAATGGTATAATAAGGTCTCCTGAGCAGGGGGTTGGACTGGAAGACCTCCCGGGGTCCCTCCCGGCTCTATTCTGAATTTGACATCAGGATTAAAAAGCTGGGCCTCCCACCAGGGACAAATCCCCGGTGGGTTGTGCCCAGCAACTTCGACCGAGCAGAAAAACGCTGATTAAACAGGGTGATATTTCTTCCCCGGCCCCCTGGGACCTATTCCGAAGACTCTCTAAATTAAAACTCGAGACGCGAGTGCTTCGTCTTCTGCCCTGCTCAGAAAAAAAAAGTCCTAAACAGATGCTGGATCAGGCAGAGATGTGAGATTTTACTCTGATTTAAATGGCAGATGAGATTCCCGTGGCTTGTTCATCGCACAAAACCGTCACGTCCCTCGTGCAGGAATGAGGACTAGCCACTTTGTCTTCAAAAGTGTGCAGATGTTTTGGGAAAGGGGGAAAAAGCCTGCTTGGCCTTCATTTCTTTCCGCCTTTGGGGTAAAATCCTTCCCTTCTTAACGTTCTTGGCCTTGGGCCGCTCGCCCCTTGCACAGTTACAAGCCAACGAAATAGCAGAGTTGGAAGGGACCTCGGGAGGTCCTCTAGTCCAGCCCCCCCCCCGCCCAAGCAGGAAACCCGAGGTTTCCTGACTCTGAAGCGTCTCAGGACTCGGAGAAAAAAAACCATACGGCCGGGCCAACGAAAACAGGCAATGATGCAAATGCTGCTCTTTTCGCAATGCATTCTGGGAGGCAACCAAGCCTAACATCGCACTTCAAGACTACGGGGGGGGGGGGGGAAGTTATGAAAGACCATGCAGAGATCAAATTAATTAGCCCTTAATCAAGCAAAACCAAACATATCTCCCTTCCGGGCAGGTCAACTGTCCTATTTTGCAGCCGTGGATGTATTTATTGATATGTCCGATCTGTTTCTTTCTTTGTTCAATTTAGATGCCACCCAGCAGTCGTGGGGCAGAATGCAGGCAAAACTCTGCCCACTGTCTGGAGTTCGATCCTGACCGGCTCAAGGTTGACTCGGCCGTCCATCCTTCTGAGGTGAGTAAAATGAGGACCCAGATTGTTGGGGGGGCAAAAGGCCGACTCTGTAAACCACTTAGAGAGGGCTGTAAAGACACTGTGAAGCGGTATATAAGTCTAAGAGCTGTTGCTAAGTTGGAAGGAAGGAAGGAAGGAAGGAAGGAAGGAAGGAAGGAAGGAAGGAAGGAAGGAAGGAAGGAGCCATGGTGGTGCAGTGGTTAGAAGGCAGTATTGCAGGCTGACTCTGCCCACTGCCAGGAGTTCGATCCTGACCGGCTCAAGGTTGACTCGGCCGTCCATCCTTCCGAGGTGGGTAAAATGAGGACCCAGATTGTTGGGGGGCAACAGGCTGACTCTGTAAACTGCTTAGAGAGGGCTGTAAAGACACTGTGAAGCGGTATATAAGTCTAAGGGCTGTTGCTAAGAAGGAAGGAAGGAAGGAAGGAAGGAAGGAAGGAAGGAAGGAAGGAGCCATGGTGGTGCAGTGGTTAGAAGGCAGTATTGCAGGCTGACTCTGCCCACTGCCAGGAGTTTGATCCTGACCGGCTCAAGGTTGACTCGGCCTTCCATCCTTCCGAGGTGGGTAAAACGGGGACCCAGATTGTTGGGGGGCAACAGGCCGACTTTGTAAACCGCTTAGAGAGGGCTGTAAAGGCACTGTGAAGCGGTATATAAGTCTAAGGGCTATTGCTATTTCTTTCTCACTACGCAAAGAAACTCTGGGTGATGTTCCTGTCCTGGTGGACTCTGTCTCAAATCTGCCACTTATTTGCCGTGCCAAACGACGTTAGCGTGAGAAACATTTACAGCTGATTTGATTCCATCGCTGATTTGATTTGTTCCTTACCTGAACGGGATTCTTCAACAGATTGAACACTCTCAGCAGAGGCAGAGATTCAATATATTCCAGCTCACTCAGTTCAGACACCTGATGACAAGAAGAATGGTACTGATTAAAGGAGATTCGATTGTTAGCCGCCCTGAGTCCGCAAGGAGAAGGGCGGGATATAAATTTAATAAAATAAAAATAAATAAATAAATAAATAAGTGGATGTAATAGATTAACAGACACGATAGAGAGATAACATACTAGATAAACAGACATGATAAGCAGACATGATAGATAAACAGACATAACAGACATGACAGATGGACCGATATGATAGGGATGGAGATAGACAACAGATAAACAGACATGATAAACAGACATGGCAGATAGACGGACATGATAAACAGACATGATAGACATGACAGAGAGACAGACATGATAGATGATAGACATAATAGATATATACATGATAAACAGACACGATAGAGATAATAGGCATGATAAACAGACATGATAGACTTAGATAGTTAGATCGATCGATAGACAGATGATAGACAGATAAAAAGATAGATATGATATAGATAGATAGATAGATAGATAGATAGATAGATAGATAGATAGATAGATAGATAGATAGATAGATAGATAGAGGTAGGTAGATGATAGAGACATAAATAAAAAGACATGATAAACAGACATGATAGACAGATAGATAGATAAATAAAAATATGATAAACAGACGATAGCGACATAGATAAAAAGATGATAGACATGATAGATAGATAGATAGATAGATACAGATAAAAATATGATAAACAGACATGATAGATATAGATAAAAAGACATGATAAACAGACATGATAGACATAGACAGATAGATAATAAATAAAAATATGATAAACAGACAATAGCGACATAGATAAAAAGATGATACACATGATAGACATATAGATAGATAGATAGATAGATAGATAGATAGATAGATAGATAGAGAGAGAGAGAGAGAGAGAGAGAGAGAGACATAGATAAAAAGACATGATAAACAGACATGATAGACAGACAGACAGACAGACAAGGCCTCATTCTGGGGTTTCTTCCAACCTCCGTCAGGTGTTCAGGGGAGGAGCGTCCCAAAGCAGCCGGCAACTGGGTCTCCTCTGCCGTATCAACCTTACCTGGTTATTTTCCAGGTTGATGTCCTCCAGAAGGTTGTGCTCTTCCAGACCCTCCAAGCTGCTGATCTGGTTGTCAGATAAGTCCACCACCTGTAGCACCTTGAGGCCTTCCAGGCCCACCGCCTTCTCGATCTGGTTCGATTTCTACCAAGAGAATCACAAGCGTCCCCTAACCAAACATGGCTGGCCTTTGGCCAAGGCCGAGCATCATCAAGAGACCCAGATGGTTTGCTTCACACGTGCTTGCTTGTTTAATTTTTCTACGCCGGTGGCCCTCGACTTACAAGACTTCATTCAGGGACCGCTCAAAGTTACGACGATCGCAGTTCAGTTGATCAAAATTCATACCCTTGGCAAAGGGTTCCCATTTACGACGGTCGCCGTGTCCCCAGGGTTACGCGATCCCCTTTTAACGGCCTTCCGACCCAGCAAAGTCAATGGGGGAGGCCAGATTCACTTAACAACCCTGTGACTCGTTTAACAACGGCAGCAATTCGCTTATCAGACGGGGTGAGAAAAGCCGTAAAAATGGCTACCTACGCTGCAAAACTGAGGGTGGAATTACGTCCCATCCCATATCGTCCAGGTGATGGTAGTCTTTAAATTATCTGAGAATAAACCCAGATTCTTAAAATGTAGGGAAAGGGGTGTGGAACGATGGCCCCGTGTTGGCTCAGGAATTCTGGGAGTTGAAGTCCACAAGTCATAAAGGGGACATCCAGCCATGATGGCTCAGGAATTCTGGGAGTTGAAGTCCATGAGTCATCAAAGGGCCATCGTTCTCCACCTCTGATGTAGGGCTTCAAAGTCCCCCCAATCATTCTTTGCAACAAACCAACATATTATGTCGGGAAAGAAGTCATCTCAGGAAACACACGCAGACTCACCAGGCAGAGAGTTTTGATGGGCAATTTTTTCAAGCCGGTAATTGCTTTGATTTTGTTATTGGCCAAGCTCAGGTAGGTCAAGTTGTGGCATTTCTCCAGACCTTGTATCTCCGTGATGTTGTTATCTGCCCAGAATTAAGAAATGAAACGGCAGCCTACAAGGAGACCAAGTCCTAGGCCCAGCTGAAGGACTGGGGAGAAAAGCTCCACGGTCTTGAGGGACCGACTGGGAACTGGTCCCCTCCTCGTAAAGCTTCTTCTTCTTCTTCTTCTTAGTGGGGGGTTCCTTCCTTAAAAGGGGTCCCAAATCAAAGAGGCCTAGACAACTCTGGAAAAGCAGAACCAAGAGAAAGTTCTTGGAAGTTGTCCGCTCTTCTAGACGGGCAGTGTCTGTGGAGCAGAAGGTGACCGTGGAGATCTTCTCCGGCGACTTCACCATTTGTCCCAAAGGTGCTTTTCCAAAAGGCAACAGGACTTTCTTGGTTTTTAGTTTTCCCCTAAAACATTTCACTTCTCATTCAAGATGCTTCTTCACCTCTGTCAAGAGTAAAAACTTGGTAGCTACGTGCCTTATTGCTTTCATCTCGTCATTAGAGTAAAGGGGGGGAGATGAGGCTTAATGTTGATGGTATCCAAGCAATGCTGAGCTATTTTGGAAACTTATCCATTAATCTTGAGCAACTGACTCAGGAATCCCTGGGGGAAGCCACAGACGAAGAATATTTTTAATATTCCACATCTTGAAATTAAAAACAGGCTTAGTTTCCAAGTCTCTACTGTATTTACTGACTTCAATGTACGTAGCCTTTTTTTTTTTTTAGTGTTGGTGGGGGAGGATGTGCTTGATAAATTATTCCCCTTCAAGCACTTATATGTTATTATTTCGTTTGAGAAAAAGGAAGCTGCTCAAATGAAATCAGGGTTAAAGAAAGAAAAAAGAAAGAAAGAAAGAAAGAAAGAAAGAGAAAGAAAGAAAAAAGAGAAAAAAAGAGAAAGAAAGAAAAAGAAAAAGAAAAAGAGAAAAAGAAAGAAAGAAAGAAAGAAAGAAAGAAAGAAAGAAAGAAAGAAAGAAAGAAAGAAAGAAAGAAAGAAAGAAAGGAGAAAGAAAGAATTCTGAAAGCCTATTTAAGCCAGGAGAATTTCTCCCAAGATACGGCTCTCTGCTCCGGAGGCAGAATCGTGTTTCCAAGGGACCCGTTAGCGAAGGATCGGTCCCAGTCTGAAGACAATTGGGAGGAAATCTGCGTCAATCTTCACCGTCCCCTGGCACACAATATACACAACAAGTGGGCTATTACTGAGGGAAGAGGCAGAACGTCCCACAGGTGCTTTTTTCAAGAGGCAACGAGACTTTCCTGGTTTTCCATGAAGGCGTTTCGCTTCTCATCCCAGAAGCTTCTTCAGCTCTGACTGGATGGTGGGGAACGGAAGTATTTATACTCCTTGCAGATAGCTGGTCATTTGCAATTTTTTAGAGAGTCGTTGAAGCCACTTGGAGGTTTGTCTGTGTCCTCAGGGTCAGCTGAGTAGTGCAAATGGGTGTTCCAGCCCTTTCAGCAGTTCCAAGAAGGCTCCACACCCATTTGCACCACTCAGATGACCCTGAGGACACAGACAAACCTCCAGGTGGTCTCAACGACCCTCTAGAAGGATGCAAATGACCAGCTGTCTGCAAGGAGTATAAATCCTTCCATTCCCCCACCATCCAGTCAGAGCTGAAGAAGCTTCTGGAATGAGAAGTGAAATGTCTTCAAAGAAAAGCAAGTTAAGTCCAGTTGAAAAAGCACCATTGAGGACACAGATAAACCTCCAGGTGGCCTCAATGATCTTCTAGAAGAACGCAAATGACCAGCTGTCTGCAAGGAGTATAAATCCTTCCATTCCCCCACCACGCAGCAGAAACAAATTCCTCGTGTGTCCAACCACGCTGGGCCAATAAAGAATTCTAATTCTATATTCTACGAAGGAGCTCTTCACAAAAGGACGGTCAGAGTAGGTTTGATCGGTCCCAAAATATCCGGTGGATGGGAAGGCAAATTAACCCTCCCTCCGATCAGAACAACTACAAAGCGAATTGCCGCAATTAAAAAGCCCGGGGTGGTTTTAAATAAAAAGATCTATTAAAAAGGCAGTTGGGATGGGGAACCTACTGGCTTCCCAACGGACTCTGTTCTAAATGCACCATTTGCCAAAAAAAAAACAAAAAACCCCACACCAAAACCCCACACCAAAGGATACTGTCCAGGATGAGCTTTCTGAGGGACTGGTAATTGGAAAGATCTTGCATTTCTGGAATGTTGTTGTAGGAGAAATTAGCCACCTGGAAAGAGAACAAAAAACGGGAGAATACATGAAGATGTCCTAGCCTGCCATCCAGCCTAGCTGTGAGCGCTAACTAGCAGTCGGAAGACATGAGGAACACTCCTTTAATGGTGCAGCACACCTACAGACTTCGCCATAGTTTCAGTTGGGAGTCCTAGTGGACGATCACTTAGACATGAGCCAGCCGTGTGCTGCAGCTGCCAAAAAGGCCAACACAGTGCTGGGCTGCATTAACAGAGGGATAGAATCAAGATCACGTGAAGTATTAATACCACTTTACAAGGCCTTGGTAAGGCCACACTTGGAAAACTGCATCCAGTTTTGGTCACCACAATGTAAAAAAGATGCTGAGACTCTAGAAAGAGTACAGAGAAGAGCAACAAAGATGATTAGGGGACTGGAGGCCAAAGCATATAAGGAACGGTTGCTGGAATTGGGTATGTCCAGTTTAATGAAGAGAAGGACGAGGGGGGACATGATAGCAGCCTTCCAATATCTCAGGGGCTGCCCCAAAGAAGAGGGAGTCAAGCTATTCTCCAAAGTGCCTGAAGGCAGGACAAGAAGCAACGGATGGAAACTCATCAAGGAGAGAAGCAACCTGGAACTAAGGAGAAACTTCCTGACAGTGAGAACAATTAACCAGTGGAACCACCTGCCTCCAGAAGCGGTGAATGCTCCAACACTGGAAGTTTTTAAGAAGAGACTGGACAGCCATTTGCCTGAAATGGTATAGGGTTTCCTGCCTGAGCAGGGGGTTGGACTAGATGACCTCCAAAATCCCTTCCAACTTTATTATTATTATTATAACGGTGAGCATCCTAGACCAGGGGTAGGCAACCTTGGCTCTTTTATGACTGGTGGACTTCAACTCCCAGAATTCCTCAGCCAGCCTGGCTCAGCATGGAAACCTCTCCCTTTCCCCTCAGCATGGCTGGCTGGGGAATTCTGGGAGTTGAAGTCCACCAGTCTTAAAGGGGACACGTTTGAGGACCCCTGCTTTAGATGGCTTGAAGGAGGCAGTTCGGCCAGGCAGCTAATTTGCAAGGGGGTGTGCAGGATTCAAACCTCGCGGGCAGAGCTCCTGCTGGCAACTCACCTGGAGATTCCTGGGTGGACTGAAGTCGAAATAGGTGGTTAGTGCATTATGGGATACGTCCAGTTCCAACAGGCAAGGCATGTGACTGACGCAGGAGAGATCTAAAAAAGAAGGAA